TTTATTTACTTATTAACATGAACATCATAAATATTGATATGTCCATTTTTGGAACTCGAGTAGCTATGTTTGCTTGACCTTTTGTTGCTCATTTTGTATATCATTTTGTATTTGCCTAAATATTTGTTCTCTAATTATATGACACTAGTTTTAATGGAAAATTCAACACAAGGAAATGAAAACATTCAGGGAAAAGGTACCGAAAAATATGAGAAATGGACGTCGGAAGAAAGCAATGAGCTTTTAAAACTCATGGTTGATGCTGCCACACGTGGTTGGCGTGATAGTAATGGTCTGTTGAGTAAGATAACTATAGAAAAACATATACCTCCTCATCTTAACCAAAAACTTGGGGTTGAAAAGACTTATGCCCAGTATATAAGTCGTGTGAAATGGTTTAAAAAATAGTACAACAAGTATCCTAAGCTTTGCGTCATAACTCTGGGTTCAGATGGGATCATGTGACGAAGAAATTCACCGCTAGTGATGAAGTATGGGACGATTACTTTATGGTGAGCTTCCTTTATTATTTGATTTAGTAACATATGAAATTTGAGTTATTGGTTAGTGAAGTGTATAATTCATATATTAGCACTCATACATATTTTTTCCTTTAATAGTCACATCCTGAAGATAAAAGTTATCGCACAGATACTTTTCTAGACCATGAGGATTTGAGAATTGCAGTTGGAAGTGGGACAGCTGTTGGGACACACTCAATTGCATTAGGGGATGATACTGATGCAAGAACTTCTTATACTGAAGAAAGAAGAGTTAGTGATAGTTTAATAGAATACTTCATGTATGATCCTGATACTGAAGCATTTATAGTAACGGATAAGCAAGATTTTATAAGTTCAGAGGTTTTCCCATCAATTCGAAAATGAAGTAGAACGGAATTTGAAGCAAAATCTAGTTCGTTTGAGCCCAAAAGCACTCAATCAGACGTTATAGACAAACTTGCTAGTACAATTGGCAAGATCACTCAAGCAATTGAATTAATTGACACCAGAGAGCCTAATTGTTGGAACGTTATCAAGGAGATCCCAAACTTGGATGATGATGATCGTTTCAAGGTCCTTGATTTGCTTAATACAAAAGCAAAAAAGTCTGAGTTCTTGAGCATGACGCCCGAAGAACGTTCTAAATGGATAACACTTAAATTAAATTGAGGCTTTGTTTTTTTTGGATATGATTGGTAGTAACTTTTGAAGTTTTTGAATTGTTTTTTGTTTGATTTATTGGTTGTATTGTTTTGATATTTTATTAATTTGATGACAATTAATTCATTTTACGTGACATTATCGTTATCTTTGTCTATGTATTAAATTTTTGTTCCTTCTATGTTTAGGTACTTCCATATATATAATGTCTAATGTTAATATACATGAAGATCATGAAAAAGAAGTGGATGAGAATGAAGAAGATGACTATAATGAAGCATTATATGAAACCAGATGGTATTTATGGATGACAATTCAAGCAATTCTCTATGTGATAAATGATCTTGTAAATATTAATAATATGCATTGTGCACGTATTACACATTCACTAACTAGACGACCAAAAACTAGATATGGATATGACTATATACGTAAAATATTAAAGGAGAATATAGAAAATTTTCGACAAGTTTATAGAATGTATCCAGATATATTTCTAAAATTAAGCAATATCATTAGAGAAAAAACACCCTTACAGGATAC